AGCAACTGAAAGCCCTGATGTGGGTGTGTGCCTGCACCGTCTCCTTCCTGAAAGGCTGGCACAGCACTCAGCAGTCCCTGGCAGGTGAGTGCATGACTTGTCTTGCTCTGGCTACACAGATGGATGTGGTGGGGGTCACTTCTCCACCATCAGGGGCTGGGAGGCTATGAGGCAACCCCCTCAATGTTCACTGAGAAATTAATTGTATACTTTGGGGGTTTTTTTTCCCCATGAAGTTTTTTTTTTTTAATAATGCCTTATATTTTTTTTTAAGCTTTAATTTTTCTTCTCAGCAATTTTTCAAAGATGGGGAAGTTTAAAAAAGTTTCAACAGTGGAATGAAAGTGAAAGGGTGCTGTGTCAGTGGGAAAGGGAAAGGAAGGTGAGTAAAAATGCAGTCTTTTCTTAAAAATATTTCATTAAAATGTAATCTAAAAAAATGTTCACAGCAAATAACAGGAGACTCGGATATTTTTCACAGCAAAGTAATGCTTTTCCATTTTGCAGGGATCTCAGTAAATATTATTAACCCATTTTGCACCCTGGGACATTGATAGATTAGTCATACACAAATTCTGTGCCAGGACCAGGAATTTAAGTCAGACCAGCACTTTCTCAAAGGCACACCATCTCCAGCTCTATGCTCCTGAGGATTACTGCTCTCACTCATACCTGATCATCATTACCTATTTTCCCAGTCACTGCAACACCCCTGGAGAGCCCCTCACTGAGTTTAAATGGGGGGTACAGGTAGTGCAGGAGCTGTAATACTCATGGCTGTTCATCTACTTGCTTTTCAGACTATGCCTTGGTACCTGCAGTTTACTGACTCCTGGAGACTAACTCCCTTCAGGGAGGGGCACCAAGCATTAGAAATGAATATGGGAGGGAGGGAAGGTGAGGGGGTGGAAAAATGAGCCTGCTTTGCTGAATAATGAGGGGAGTGAAAATGAACGGGGAAGGAGAGAGAAAAGCTGGTTTAAATATTTAATCTCTGTTGCATTTGCTTTTGAAGAGGAGACAAAAGCCTTGGAACATCTTTTGTCTTGCCCTAATTCTGACCAGAGCTGAGAGGCATGCGGTTGTCATTGCTGTCATTTGCCTTAAGGTGGAGAGGAACAGATTGGTCTGCTGCAGCAGCCCATCACAACAGTCTGTCTCCAGCGGCGACTGGGACCTGGAGCTGCAGAAGGTATTAATTACAGTTAAACCTCTGCCCCTGGAGCCCCCACTGCCCCGGATCCTGGTGGTCAGCACGTGTGCTGCCTGGGAGGTGCAACTTCAGAGAGGAAGAAGCAGCTCTGAGGGGTCTGAGGAGCAGCAGCCTGCTCGTGTGCCTCATCATAAAGCAAGTCACTTCACTTTAGGTCTTCACCACCATTTGGAGCCACGTGGTGGCTTCCCTTGACTTGCCCCCTCAAGTCCCCCCTCTCTGCTCAGCCATGGGCTGTCTAGGTAGTGCCAAAATAAGCACTGTCTCATCTACTGGCCACAGCTGCACCATCTGCAGCACCTTCTGCAGCTGAAGCAGCCTCAAGGATGAGCTGGCAGGACCTCCACGCCAGCCTCAGGGATGACAGCTGTATGTGCTGATGAGCTGCTGCACCAACGAGGTCGTTTGCTTTATGTTAGTCCTCCGTAAACTGTGTTGTACAGTCGATATAACTCATCTGCCACATGTTCTGTGTCTCTTGTTTCTCACACTAGACACCTAGACTTGAGGACTGCACCACAAGGCATGGCCAGGGTGACCTAGCGAGGCTGGCACAGCCCCTGGTAGTGCTTGTGGTTCTCCACAGCCATAGCCTGTCATCCTCTGAGACAGACTTAGCCAGATAAAATCCTCATTTAGGCTTTCTTTATAGACTGGAGGAGTAGGAGGGAGAAATGCCTCCAGAGAGTAATTCATTGTAAGCCTGGCTTTTAAATTGGCAAATATCTGTAAGCTCTAAGAAAAGCTGATGGCCTCTGACTAACCAGAGGAAGCTGCTGAGACTGGGAACTTTTTCTCTTGGCAGTGGCTTTGTCCCTCTGATCCATTTATTCCTTTTAAAACCCTAAAAGCAAAGAGGTGCTGCCATTCCTGCTTCTCAGATGGGGGCAGATATAATGTGTCTTCTTCACCAGAACCCATCAGGATGTCTTTGGAAAAGCAGGGATTTATGAGCTCGGGCCTCCTGAGCCCTGAGGGAAAGCAGGAAAGCCTAGCCTTTTATCAACTCCATTTTTCAAAAAAAAATGAAGAAAAAAAAACAACCCAAGAACGTTCAGAAACATCCATTGAGCCTCTGAAGGTTCATAGTTAATTATCTTTCAAAGGCTTACTTCAAAAGTAATGTATTATTTCACTCTGTTTTTCAAGAGATCAAATAAAGCCAAGGAGCCTAGTCAAGAATGTTCCCATATTATTTTGATATAATTTAAGGAACTCAGTTGGCTACTTTAACTGCTAGAGAAGACAGCTGAGTAGGAGTTTGGGCTGGGTGAATCCAGCTAGGGAAGAGTTTTGCATTTGGCTTACAAAACAGCTTGAGTAGGCTGAGATTCCAGGCTGATGAGATGGTCTCCATGATGACTACACTTTTCTCTTTTTTGGCAGAGAATCCATACACTCCACATGTGAGCTAAAGGGGTGAAAGAGAAGCTTATTCCCTGTAGCACTACAAGTCTTGACTTTGCTGATTTTTACAGGAACAATGATACCAGGATGCTGGTCACCCTGCTTGGATCTAAGCTACACAAATTGTTGACCAGACACCAAAGACGGCAGCTTTTGGTGCAACTTTGATCTGAATCAATGACTTAGGAATGGAACACATCATATCTTGTTTCCAAAACGTTGCCTGAGCCATAAAAACACTCCTTTACTTTTTGCCAAAGAGAAAAGACTTGGGAGCTGACAAATGAGTCTTGGTACTGTGGTTTAAAGAGAGCTGAGTTCAGGTCAGGACCCATTACCAGAAGCCAGTGGTGTTTCAGTGGTGCTGTGCCAAGCTGTGCTCTTCCTCTCCAAATATAAAGTTTTCTGCAATAGAAGGAAGCCAGGAGCTGCTACTTCCCAATTAACTCAACAATGATTTGCCTTAATGTTAGCTTGAGGGCCCAAACCCCACGGACCTGACCTTAGTGGGAGCCTTTGCCTCTCCCAGATGGTTACGACAGGATGCGACTCATAGCCTGTGTTGTGGCCTTCAAAGTCCATCTACACAGAAGGACATATGGATGTGTCAGACCACGTACAGGCAACAGCCACAGCACCATCCTCAAGGGCTGCTGATGGCTGCTCTGCAGAGCTGGGGGCGTGGGAGAAGGGAGGAAACATTATTCAGAAAGAGAGACCTCTTCCTGCTTGAAGGAGAAGGAGGAGAAAAAGCACAACATCTCAGCAGTTCCTCAAAAGCTGCAGGAATTGTTAGCGGGGGGAGCTGGAGATGGAATGGACAAGGTAGATGGAGGAATTTTTGTGTTCAGTGAAGAGTAAATTTGCTCAAAGAAAAAGAGAGAGAATTACGGGAGACCAGAAACTCTATTTGGATTTGGGAGATCGTGCCTCCCTTATATTTTCTTAATGTCAAAATATCTTGAAAATCTCAAAGTGGTTTTCTTCCTCTTTTTTCTTTTCTTTCTCTGATTAGGTTTAAGTGGGAAATGCTGAAATACTTCATTCCACATCTTTCAAAATCAATCTTTTTGACATCTTTTAAAATAGACTTGTAATCTTCAGCTCAAAAAGGAGAAAAAATCAGAATCAATAAACAGTGAAGTAAACGGCAAGCACAATTTTTCACTTAAGGTTGAAAGAACTCCTTGAATTCACCCTAGTTTCTCTTTGGTTCTCTTCTTTTTCTGATCCTCAGTACCCCACACTTTCAGTTTGTTTGATTTTTATTTTTATCACACAGTCTAGTTTATTTTTTTTATTTGCTTAAATATTAATGAAACAACAGCGTATTACACATGATTTCTTAATCAAACCAACCAGCAATCCTAATGTAACATCTTTGAGGTCGAGAGAACAAGAAGAAGTATTCCATACAGCAAAAGAATTTCAGGAATTATGGACAGAAAGCCCCTACTTGGGAAATGAGTCAGCCCACTTCTATCAGAAAAGATCAGCACAGAAGTATAGATCCTTTAGAAACAGCTTATGAATTTACAGCTTGCAAAGTAGATGAAGTCTCTGAGTCTTTCATTCACATCCACTCATTCCCCCCACATCGAGGTCTCTGGCAGAAGGACGGGGAATGTGCTGTCTGCAATGCATATGAACTTTCTGTTTAGAGGAGAAAAGAAAAGATTTTTTTCAATAGGCACAAAAATCCCACCCCCTCAGCACCCCTCCTTCCTCTGTGTCTGACACTGACTTCAAGGGAGGAGTTGAGCCAATTATCTGTGAGTCCTACGGAAGGAAAATCTGCAATTTGCCAGTAGTTGTGAGAGAGAGAGGGAGAAAGGCAGGGAGGGAAGAAGAATGACTTAATTGCGAGACATAAAGAAAAGCCCCTTCTGTCCTAGAAAGAGAATATATGAAAGCAAATCTCAGATCAGAAGAAAAGAAGCTGGTGGGGGAGCTTGTGCCAGGCAAGACCTGGGGAAGTGTAGGTTCGCCACAGACAACTTCACGCCCCTGTTGATTCTTCCCCAGAGGGTCTAAGGTGGTGTAGAGGCAGGGTGGGCCAGCCGGGTGCACCCAGGACCCTGCAGGACTGGGTGTCACTCCAGGGACCCCTTCCTCCTCCTCCCAGAGCCTACGAAGTGCAACTTGCAAGAAAAGCCAGTGGAAGTGGGGGAGACTCTGCCTCTCCTCCTCTCGAACTGAGGCTGTGAGGAGCCCAGCTCATCTCCTCCGAGGGAAAAGCTGCCACCGGTTCTGAGACCTTCTTCAGCCCACGTTGGTCGCCTGATCCAGCACTTACCACCCATGGGGGAGTACCCTGTGGAGCCCTGCAGTCCTTCCCAACCCTGCTGAGTTCCAAGGAAATACTGGTGAAGAACGGAGCCCAGAGCAGGCACCGTGGGATCCACAGAAGAACAGCCTTTGACAGCAGCAGCCACCTCTGACCAAAACTATCAGCTTCATCAGGCTGCACCAAGACCCAGGACTGCTCCTCCAAGGACAGAGAGGTAAGAAAGTAGCATGAAGTTTGGGATGAAAGTGAGAAACAAACGTCCCACAGCGACTGTGGTGTGCATGAAAATTTTGGGGATGCTAACATGGCTGAGAAGTGACAGGTCTGTTTTGCAGGGTACAGTTTGCATCTGCCTTTGTCCTTTTTAGCCAGATGCAGTCAGTTACACTGGGATGGCAGAGACACAAGCAGGAGCTGAAGTCTGTGGAGTGCAAGAGAGGTAGTTCAGGAGTCTATTCATAGGTAGGGAGAATACTCCCCGTGGGGAGGATGCAAAACTAAGGTGTAAAAGCTCTCGGCAGGTTTAGTGAAGAATGTCTTCCTTAGATACACCTCTCTGGAGTTCAGACAAATGCTCTTCCGAGCATGCAGAAGCAGGTGCATTGTCATTCAATCTGCTATCTGCCCACGGAGCAAACAGTGATGGTTAGCAGGTAGAAGACAATACAGTGAGTCAAAATAAATGGGATTTAATGTTGATTTTGGACAGCTGTTTCTGCTTGCTCTAGGCATATGACCCTTTCCCTTTATTATGTGGAGGTAACACTCATTGCCTACATTTCTTTAAATCCTTGTGCTGTACCAATATGAAACACTAATGTAAAGTTTCTAGCATCAAGCCAGTGCATAAAGCAGAAGGTACCACAAGGAATTAATCTATGCTTAAGCATTTAATAAACTGGAAGGAAAAGATGCAGATTAAAGGCAGCTGGAGGTTGTTTGCCTCCTCATTCTCTTCTGATTGATTTTGCTTTATTTAGTACATGAACATGTGGTCTCTATCTGTTTCCTTTCTTCTGCCTTTAATCTTTTTCAATGTATGAGTCCCTGTGCTCCCCCCCACCCCTGGGTGTGAAGGTTGAAGTTTCATCTATTTTCTGAGGGTGAAACAAGGCAGATTGTACTGAACTAGAGAAACACTGGTGTGGAGGGATGGGAAGAGAGAGCACAAACCACAAACTCTTGGTTCAAAGGCATGGTCCAAGTCAGATTTGCAGCAGAGGTGATGAGTAGCAACTCCATGAATCAAAGTGCTGAAAAGCATCCTTTGACTTCACGTGAAATGAAATGCAGCCAGGAAGGCATGGGTCCTCTGGACTGAATGCCTTGACAGGTGGAACAAGGATATCACAAAGTGACTATTTAATACATTAAAATCTGCATCTCAAGGACACCCCTTTTTCCTCTTCAGTGCATCTACATCCTTGGGGCAAAGCATCCTGAAATGAGCACGTGTCTTAAGATTTTGCCTTTGGTCGGGGTGGGAAGCAGTGTGATTTAATGACCAGAGATGCAAGAGTGAGGAAAGGTGGGAAGGAGAAAGAGTTTGAAAGGTAGGAGTCCTGGAGTCTGTTCACACTTCCCATTTGCATCACCTTGGGTGGTCACTCAGCTTCCCTGTGCCTTACCCTCCTCATCTGCTGTGGCAGAAATTCTTTCTCCAAGCTATCTGCCCAGTGCTATCTGTGTACAGTGGCACTAACTGAGGTCCAAAGCAGTGGAATTCTTTTCAAGATGCCTCTTCCACTAAAGGTGCAAAAACAACCCTTCAAACAGCTGCAGGGACACAGTCCTCCTCTGCTGTGTGATGGGAGTTTCTCTAACCACCAGCAGCTCGGTGGTTACCTGTCAGTCAGCGGTGTAATTTGTAGGATTTGGGCTTGTAAAGCTGCTGGCCAGGATCAAGGCCCCACACTGTGCACATTCTGTACAGGACATACAAGGCATTTACCTAAAAAGCCTAACTGGGCTCACTCCCAGATGCTGCTGCACCAAGCTGTACAAAACCCATCTTCAGCAGGTATGAACCAACACTTGTCCTCACACAGGTCCATCCCTGTCTGAAGAGCTGAGTCATTTCTAAATACTGAACCTGGGCTCTAGAGAAGTTTGTAGTTTTTCTCACAAAAATCTATCTCCCTGCTTCTCTCTGTCAGCTAAATAAAGCCTGAGAGGGTGAAAGCATCCCAAAGCATCTCTATCACCATTTGTCAGCCCACGGATGCAAGGCAGTGTTGCCTGGCTCTGTAGGAAACTGCTGACCTTTCATGGCAGTGTTATTTCAGAGACTGCATTTGGTGTTTCTGCACTGTTGGAGATGAGTCCTGCTCTAAATAAAACACAGTGTCCAACGTAAATACCAGGTGTGCTCCTCGCTGTCACTCCCACCAAGGCAATCCCACCAGAATTCTGCACATGTGTGTCAGTCCAAAGTTATGTTCTGACATTGCTGTCTGCCTCTAATATTATGCTGTCCTGCCCATGGAATCTAATTCAGAGTATAAGCTGCTCTTGAGGAAAGTATTGAATTTTCTTCTGTGCTTTAGGAAGGGATGAATGTGCTGTTGGCGTGCAGCAAATGATAGCAATAATAATAATAAAAACTAGTAGTGTTTTGCTGCTGCCTTGGGCTATAGCACGGCACTTATAGTGATGCTGGATCAGGATTCCAGAGACTTCTTTAGATAGCAGTGACCATATCTTCACTGCTGCTTTGGTGCTCAGCAGATGATAAACAAAGTAAAAGATTCTAAGCTTTTGACTGAGATAAGCATGAGCTACATAAAAGCCTGGGAGATAAAATTCACTCGAGGGAAAGATAGGAATCTAGATCTGGATCCAGAAATGATTTTTCAGTGTACATAAAGTACTCTCATTGTAATACTAAATAAACAATACCTAAGTTAAATAAACGGCACAGTGGGAACTTGATTATTCTTTAATAAGATCCTAGTAACCAAAATAAACTCTGTCAAAAATGTCCCTTCTTTGCTTTAATAGTTAGCTTTCCCCATACAGAGGTTATATTTTTCCTTTCAGCACATAATTCATTTGAACTGGTACATGAAAAATGTCTGAGCAACCCTCTGCTTTTTCCATCACAGTTTTCTGCCTCTGAGTGCCACGTCAAAATGCAATCTCCAAGGTCTTGAGACTCATGGGTTGGAAATCTTGTCTAAGAGCTACATAAGTTGGCTGTCCCTCATCTTTTGTCCTGCTTGTCCTTAGCACCCTCAAAGACTGTGACACTCACAACAGCTGTGTATGCAGAAAGAGTGAAACTCCCATGAAATCCACCTTCTGCAGTTCCACCCATTGCCAGCCATCCTGCTGCAATGCTGATAGTTTGTTGACAAGGAGTTCCCACACTACCACTTCAAACAGCAACATTAAAATCTGGTTTCTAAAAGGCAGCTGAAGGCACAGATCTTTGAATTTATCATTGGCTAGTGCTATTTTGTGTCTCAAACTCCCTGCGTCAGCAACGAAGGTTTTATGGGACCAGCTATTTAAAGTTACTGAGATGTCTAGCTTCCACTGATGTCAAATGTGAGTCTTCTTTCTGTCTGACTTTTGGTTGAGCTCAGAAAATTAGTATTGGCCACGGCTCCTATTTAGGCAACCAGATGAAACGACCTGGGTCCTAATGGCAGCTGCAGAGGATGCAGTATATTGAGAAATCTGACCTCTGTGTTTATGTATCTAAATGAGAACCAATCTCTACTGAAAAAATCTGGTAATGTCTAAGTGACACAGATGGTGGGAAGGAACGTGGTGTCTAAGTTGAAGCAGCAGTTTGCTGATAAAATTAGCCCTTAACGTTTAAATGAAATAGCAAATTACAATCCAACCCCGTGCTATTTTCAGTGTAAATGCCTTCATTTTTATATGACTTTAAAAGAAATGAAAAAACACAACAACAAAAACAAAAAACCACACACACACACAGAAAAAAAAACCTACTCCCTGGAAATGAGACTGAAAATAAAATAGCATTTCCAGTGAAAAGATTTCTGCATGGAGCATTGGTCTGTTAAGACTGTGATCCATAGCACTCTTTGACAAGCCTGTGGCAAGGAGCTGCCCTGCTCCATCCTCCGTTTAGTTTCTGAACTTTCCTCCATCTCTGCTGTTCCCTCTTTCAGGACCAAGCAATGATGAAGACCATGTCTGGTGGAAACTGCACCCTGAATGTGCCAGCCAAGAACTCGTACCGCATGGTGGTGCTGGGGGCCTCCCGGGTGGGGAAAAGCTCCATCGTCTCCCGCTTCCTCAACGGCCGCTTTGAGGACCAGTACACCCCCACCATCGAGGACTTTCATCGCAAGGTCTACAACATCCGGGGAGACATGTATCAGCTGGACATCCTGGACACCTCTGGGAATCACCCTTTCCCTGCTATGAGGAGGCTTTCCATCCTGACAGGTGAGGAAGTGGGGGGAAGTTTCCAGACAAAACTGGGGGTGAAGGATCATAAGGATAGACATCAGGTTGAAACTGTAGCCTGGAGATGACTGTTTCTTGGGAAGCAGCTAAAGGGACCGCTTGATTTTGTTGCAACGTGCATTGCTCTAGAGAGATACTTCCTGGCCAGGATGCTCCAGGCATCCTGGACCATAATAGGGAGTGCATTAGCCACAGAGAAGTCCACCTGGTGAAGGACAGAAACTGAGATTTCCCCCTAGTTTATTTCCCTTCTACCTTCCCTTCCTCCTTCTTACTCTTTATTGCAGTCACAAATAAATGGCTGAATAATATGTCGTGGGCATAAAGAGCAGCAAGGGACAAAATAAGCACGTCATTCTAAGACACAAGCAGTGAAAAACAAATGTAAAATGCACAGGAAGGGAATTCCACAGAAGAATATCTCCAAGATATTAGTTTCCTCCAGTGTCCAGCTTGATTCCCTTGATTTGATACTCCAGTAAAAGAATAGTACTGTTTTTAGCCTTTCTCCTTAGTCTATGGTTAATCGAATGTGTAGAAGGGAAAAAAGATTAAATGGTGGGCTCATTTTGTATGTTCTCATTGTCAAGCTGTTCCTGTTGTGAGCTCTGATGTGTTCTGTAATTCTGAAAGTGAGTCTGAGATATATTCAGCCACAGCTCACCTGCTTGCTGGATTTGCCACCTACCCTTCTAGCTACCCAGTGAAAAATGATGTCCACATCTGACCAGGCCTGCCACTCCCACTGAGTGAGGTCCAAGGGCCAGTTTCTGGGATGCAGATGTGGGCTTTTGTCCCTGAAAGCTCTCTCAGCATGTTCCACACAAATGTCATTCAACAGGCAGTGATTTGCGTTATCTTATATTTGCAAAAGGAATTGTAAGTCAGGAAATGTCAAAAGGAAATGCCAGGGGATCTGTGTCATTTATGTATTCCTTTTTTTCCATGGTCTCTTGAGCAAATTACATGACAGCAGAGCCCTGTACATTGGGAAACCTTACTCCTGACTTAGGCAGTCGGGACTAACTAGCTGTGAATCTTCAGTTCAGGTGTTGCTTTGTGTATTGTGTAACCAAAAGGCCAAGGCTGAGTGGCTGCTAGCCCTCCACTCCTCCTGGTGTCAGAACAGGCTGTGTTTTACACAGAAAAACAAATGAAAGGAAGAAAAAAGAAAACAAAACAAAAAAAAAACACCAAAAAACCCACAAAACAATGCAGCAGAGCTGAGATGGAAACATGCCTACAAAAGAGTAAAATGTGCAATAACTTGCGAGTCCAGTGCAACCAGATATGGCTGAAGTCACATTGTAGCCCATAGTCTTTTCCATAACACTACAGAAAGGTGTCAGAAGTTGACTTAGAACTGGAATTAAAGTATAGCTGAGTTAATAGATTCAAAAGGACCCAACAAAAAATATGGTGAGGAGATGACAAATAAGCCCATTGCTTTTTAAAAACTGCCTCCTCTGGCGCAGGCTGCCACCAGCAAGACTTTACAGTATCTTTTTAATTGCAGGGGATGTTTTCATCCTGGTATTCAGCCTGGACAACAGAGAATCCTTTGATGAGGTCAAGAGGCTCCAGAAACAGATCCTTGAGGTCAAGTCCTGCCTGAAGAACAAGACCAAGGAATCAGCTGACCTCCCCATGGTGATCTGTGGCAACAAAAACGACCACAGCGAAGTCTTCCGCAAGGTGCGCTCAGATGAGGGCGAGGACCTCGTCTCCAGCGACGAGAACTGCGCCTACTTTGAAGTTTCAGCCAAGAAGAACACCAATGTGGATGAGATGTTCTATGTCCTCTTCAGCATGGCCAAACTACCTCATGAGATGAGCCCTTCCCTCCACAGGAAAATCTCCATCCAGTACGGTGACACATTCCAGCAGAAATCCTTCCGGATGCGCCGGGTGAAGGACATGGATGCCTACGGCATGATCTCTCCCTTCGTCCGCCGGCCGAGCGTCAACAGCGACCTGAAGTATATCAAATCCAAAGTTCTCAGGGAAGGGCAGTCCAGAGAGAGGGAGAAATGCACAATCCAGTGAAGGGGGCTTGCACTCCTGTCCGAAGTCAGCATCCACATGCAGTGCCTTAAAGAAAAATGATCTGTGGAAGCACAGAACGGGCTGATGGGGTTCACGGGGAGGTGCCACACGGAGGAAGGATGACTCTTCCTGAGGGTTCTGCTGGCCCATGAATGTAAATAACATCGTCCTCGTGAATGACTGGGAAAACCATATGCCTGAGATACGACTGCATTCCTCTGTCTTTGTAACGTCCTTCCTCTTCGTTCTCCTTTTTGTTTAGAGAAAACAGGCCCAAGGAGTAAAGACATTTCAACAAAGAGAGTAGGTGAAAAACCCATGGAAGGCATTAACAGCTACGCAGCGTACAGCTCTTGCTAAGAGAGGAGGTGATGTCTGTGCACATGTGTATCTCTGTGAGTCTGTGTGCATGCACGTGTGGAGCACGCCTTCCAAAAAACAGGACTTGCATTTCCAAGGGCAGCAATCATAACTAAGCTCTCCCGGGTCTGAGTGGACTTTGGATATGGACACATGTCTCTAACTTGCTTCTGAGGGGACCTGCAGTAAGGAGATCTTGATTCTATGTTTGCTGGGACAGCTATCATTTGACATTGACACGAATGTTGTTTTGTATTATAGATTTTATTTGGGATTTGCTTTTTTTAATTGTCTGGGAGTGGGTTCTTAGCAAAATCAAATGGCAAGCGTGTTTGATATCAAAACAGCGTCTACTGTCTAGTGAAAGTTGGTTTCCATCTGTAAAACTATAGAATATGTACATTGATTGGAAGTGAAAATGTTCTGCAAAAAGCCAATACACTTGACTGCTTTGCAAGCCTGGTGTGATACTGTTTCTCAAAGCAGCCACATTGACTCTGAATATTGTAGTATGAATGCCACCCTCTGCCTTGGCCACCAGAGCAATAGTTCCTTCCTCTGCCTCTACCAGCCAAGACTGACCAGATTCATATGTAGATTCACATGAAAATCGGGGGTCCCTTTACAATTAGAAACTGAAAGGTTGGAGGGCTAGCTCCTTCATAGTTCTCCTGTTAATGTGTCTCTAGTAATTTAGTTCATGGTTTTCCCTGTTGCCTGATAGAGGTTGCCTTGCAAAAAAAGTTCTTTAGAACAGAAGCTTTGTGCTCACTGCCCAAACAGGGCTGAACTGGCTGGCTAGATAAATCTGAGGCCATTCATTCATTCTTCCCTTTCTCAGCCCAGTCCAGGCTTCCTTGTCTGCAGCTCTCTCCCTGCTCTGCTTCTGGTTTTTTCGTTCGATGTGCTCCTGTATGCCCTCAAAGCCAAATATATTCTCTTAGATGTGAGCTTGCTGCTCTCACTGACTGGAACGAGATGTGTGCACACGTAACTGTGGGCAAAGCATGGCCCCAAGACTGTACCCAACAGTAGAGTATATATGCCATACATACCTCAGAATGACCTTCAGATATCTTGTCCCACTCCCAGCCTCAAGTTCTGTTCTTGGCTGTATCTGCCTTGTTGTGACCTGGACAGAGCTGTGTGTTAGTTTATGCTATAATTTGACAGGAAATGAAGAATAATGGTTGTCTTTAAAAATTAGCCTCTGGGACTCAAAATCCCATATTCATTTATCAGCTCCACCCTTCATTGGTACTGTAGATTGACTGGTAGAATACACTGTTTTTCTGTTGCTGTTGCCAGGGCAGCACTTTTCAGACCACATCTCCCTCCCTGTACATGATTTATGATTAAACTTGCTTTATTTATTAGCTGTGTCCTGGTCCTTTTTACTCTCTCCAAGAAGGTCCTCTTTTTTGTTGTGCAGGTGGAACTAGGCAAGTGAGTTGTGGGTTGACAGCCCTGCTGAGCTCTCTAGTAAGTCCTGGAGGAGCTTTTTATGTCCTCCAGACATCAGAGGCTACGAATTTGTATGTTTGGAACAGAACTGTGTCTATATCTGCATCTATCTGAACACTAAGTTATATATACAGATACCCTCACAAGCAGAAGCAGTTGTTCTTAACCATGCTGCCTCCAGCACAAGAGAACATCCCTGTCCTTCATGCACAGAGCTTGCATGCTCACCCCCAGTGCAATTTCATATGGTCTCTGCAGAGACATCACTGTTGCTCTCAGAAGTCTACGTTACCATCTGCACCTCCCAGCTGTATGAGCCGTGGTCCTCCTGAGCACATGCTCACCTCTACAGACTCTCCACCTGAATGCATGACTACTCAATGGACCAGTGGTCAAGCTATGAGACTCATGTGCCACAGGAAGATGGAAGGGTTGAAGGTGGAGTGAGAAAGTCAGGAGCACTGGCAATAGGTTGGGTTAAGGGGCTCCAGGAAGGTAAAGGAGAACTGCTTGCACAATAGGTCATGTGCTGACCTACTGAGCCTATGTCTGCTCTCCCTGGCCTGCTGGATAAGTTTTTAAAGACCTTCACATTCATCAAGTCTCTGCCTTTGTCTTACAACACCAACACTCTTACAATTATTTTCCCTACTGTCCTTCCATCTCCACAAAGACACCAGCTTTCCTAACCCTTCCATGTTCTCCCTTCCTTCCACCACGGATATGAAGCCATGGGGCATGGAAAATGATGCTGCAGTGACAACAAGGGCTCAAGAATAGGGGAAGCTGAAGACTCCAGCAAATGCTCACAGAGACAGGCTGGTTACCATGGGAAGATAAGTGAGCCCCAACTTCACAGTCCAGCTTCGCCTGCCAAGCTCAGGGTGAGAAGCATCTGAGAAAATGACTGGGAATGAAGGTGAAACAGCATGACAGTCACCCACAAAACCAAATGGGAATAAGTAAGTAATCTTATTAAAGTAATCCTTGTCATCTCCTGCATTTTGTTACTGATAGTAATTGCTTTTGAATTTAGATTATCACGTTCATGAGGACATTTTTTTTCGTCTTTGATTATATCATTATGATAATTCTATTAACATTCATATATCATCTGTGCAAGCAGGTGTACACTTACTCAGTTTTACCTAGCATAATTCACTTGCTTTATTCCAATAGGTACCTCTTCCTCCACGGCAGTTTATAAACCCCAGCATTAGTGACACAAAGCTTTGATTGTGTTTTTTGTGTACTTACTTTTGGGACAATGAGCAGGGACTTAGAGCTGACTGAGGATCAATCACTGTCCTGGAACACGACAGGGATAAGATTTATTTTGTGCATTGCTCTACCCAGAAAGAAAGTCCTTGTCCTGAAGAAATTGCAAGTCAACACATTATAGGCGCTACTATAAATAATGACAAAAATCTAATTAAGCCACAGGGTCAGTACAAATGAGGAAGGAAATAATGGTCATGGTGAATTAAGTGAAAAATAAATTGAGGGTGGGAAGGGCAAAGCAAAAGCCTGTTTTGACATCCAGAGGACTAAATTAGGCTTCTGTTCTGAAAGATCCCCAGGAGGACTGATGCCACCAGGCCAGCCCAGCCTGGTGCTAGAGAGAGGTTTTTCATGGTGCAGCCTCACAAAGAGCATTGTCTTCTTGAGACCCCAGGGTGCAATAGGTCTGATTGTCTGGGAGGTCAAAGGGTTTGATATTATCACAAAGGCTAGTAGGAAATGATACGATAATTTTTAAAAAGGCAGCAGAAGAGAAAAGAGCCTCAGAAGGGGGCTCCCAAAGGTAGGATAGCAACAGGAGGTTGGGTGGGTAAAGAAGATAAAGATCAGCTAGGGTGTAGGTTACAAAATGTCTCTTTTACCTTTATTTCATCCTTCTTTACATAAAAGTCAAATCTGAAGACATTTTATTTACTTTTTTTGTCCTTCCTCAAATGTTTAACTGCCACTTACTGCTGTGGAGGGCCCTCCTCCCACCTCCCATCACACCTTTTGTTGCCTTAGGTTTGCCCTCCTGCCATGCACCATATTGTGGGCTGCCTTGTTAGCCCTGTCCTGGCATCTTGGCTAGGTCATAGACAGAGGTGTTTTTGAAGTAAGTGATGATTATCTGATTTGATTTTCAATCACTATTACTGTTAGGGGTTTTACTAGCATTATTGTTTCTGTAAAATTATGTGGTGGCAGGCTCAGATTAAAGGGTCTTCTTGGAAAAAATATATAAAACGTGATATAATGTACATTTTCCTCACTGGTTTCTATAGCAACAGACTTTTCACTGCACTCAGAGAGAGCAGAGAACTTAGAGAGGGGGAGATGAGTAGCAGTAGCTCTGCCCTAGATCTTTCACCTCTGACTCATCAGGGGAAGTTTTCTTCCCTTCAGTTTCTGTTATGTGAAGAAACATAGACCACTAGCCAGATTCACCTCTTAGAACACTCAGTATGTCTGGTGGAGCTGTGGGATGGATGTGCTACCATAGATAAAAAAGTAATTTCTGTGATGTGATTGTAAACTGGGGCACTGCTCCTGACACAGTACCTGACATGGGGAATGCACATCTCAAACTGCTATAAACCCAGCTTCTGTACTGAGGTTTGGTTAGAGCCAGCTATGAGCCTTGCCCAGCTCCTCTTTTCTCTGCATCTTTACAGACCACCATCTGGTACAGCCAGAGCCTGAGACTTCTCAGAGAAACATTTCCGTTTGCTCTCATGACAACATCAGCCAAAGACCTTTCCTTGCCCCTAACATCGTTGGCCATCCACAGCATGCAGAACCACCCTAAGTCCCAGGCATCATGTTCCTAGAAAGTTATTGACAGTTTGGAAGGAGGCCAAGAACTAGCAAGAGAAAACATTTTATGAGCCTAGAGGGATTGACTTGAGTAAGCCTTAAAAAAACTCTGGAAGGGGTAGTTTTGTGCCATGAAGGTAAACAAAGTCTGAGAAAGGCTGGCTAAAATCCCCTAGGTGTGTTTGAAAGGTGGAGATGATAGCTGAGACAGCACTTCTTTTAGAGTTTGACAATGGGATATCTCAGTGAGAACAAGAGTATTAAGCAGGAAATCATAGACAAAAGAGCCAGGCAGACTTCAGGGCAGTGGATTCTATTGGAAAATTTTCTGAGAGAGGTCATGAAAGTCCCATTAGCAAAACACTGGGAAAAAGCCTGAAATCCACATAGCCAGTGGGGTAACTTGGTGTTGGCAGTGGGCTAGACTGACTGAGCCACTCAGTTATTTTGATTCTCCACACTTGTTTCTGTGAGGGAGCAAATCCCTTCAAAGAAATTTCCTCAGAGTACCTACCCTCACTCCATGCTCTGACCCCTGAGTGGAGGGCTGGTAGTTCACTGGTCCCCTCCAGTCAGATCACTAATAATAGAGGCAGGACTTCTTACATCAGACTCTGTTTTTTAGAACATTTCCACAAAAATTCCTGGA